GGTTTTATCTTTGTGTGTTTGAGAGATTCATCATAACCCTAGGAGAATGGCGAGTCCTTACCCTCATGCAGAAGTTATAGATTACATCCCTATGGCTCATGAATTTCATCAACCGCTAAACCCTTACAACAATCGGTACAATCATGATGGATAATGAGGTGTCTTAGTGAGACAAGGTTTCTTTATAGATATAGATTATAAATTATGAAAACATTTACACAGATGGTTATACAACGGAAACTTTTAGGTTTGACATGCGAGATTCCTCTGAACGACTCTCTTTGCACCACGCTAACTCTATTAATTTGTATTCTCCGATACTCCAACTCCATATATGGTTGTGTAAAATCATTGATATGAAAAAATCAAATGAAACCTCATCGATCAAGTTGTACTATGTAATGACATAATATGGAGGAGATTCTATTGCTGACAGAAGAAAGGGCATAATGAATCAAATACTTGATTCCTTTACTTATAGCCTATGCATTTTCTGTTAACCCTTAAATGAGTATGGTTAGAGTTTAAACAATTATGTTGGGATTTAGCATCCTTGATTAAAAAAAAAATGATTGCATAAGGTTACTAAAAGTTCCAAATTTTACGTGTTTGTATTTGAACTTAATTTTTGAACTTATGTATTTTTTTTAATGTTTACGTATATTTGTGAGATTTAAGCTCACATATTAGTGTTTAATACACACTAATTTTCAACAAATGGTACAATGTTAATAAATAATATTTAAATGTTTCCTAAAACATCATTGAAAATAAATAAATTAAAAAATTATGATACTTAAATGATCATTAAAGACAAAAAGGATAATTAAAAATAATAAATATGGGTATTGGAAAAGTGGATAACGACGGAAACAAAATTCAAAACAAAAATCTTCAAAATGAATTAAAATTACACTTTTTATAAATAAAAATATATTTTTTATAAAATTAGAATATTGATTCCTAAAGATAGAACTAAAATTAATAATCAATAATAAGGTATAAATGGGAATCATGGTTCGAGAAGTATTTATATCATTTAGTTGTTGTAATAACCTAAAATGCTCATAATACCATATCATTAATTATATTTATGAAAAGTGCATTAGGCATGTTTCTACGCTAGCTGCATGATTTTATATTCGATTTAGAATTTAAAAAGTACCTATTTAAAATAAGTTGTTTACAATCTCAAATATGTTTTTGATTGCTCTCGCGGTGAGAAGAGTAAATTCGATTTTTTTATATCGTAAATAAAATTGGATAATAATATCGTTTAAGTTAATGATAAAAAACTAGGTCTCCAATTGTGTGTTTCGAAGTTCTGGTTTGTATATTTTTACAGTTTTGCTCGAGGATGTTAGATTGAGAAATTTTAGCCACTCAACAGAATTAATCACCAATGTACATATAATAGGTTTTCATTTTTTGAATTTTTTTTATCTTTTTATTTCCCATGTGATTATAAGTTTTTTTATAAAGTTTACCGACAAGTATCGACAGGTAATTGACGCTCATGATAAGATTTTTCATTTCAACTTCGCTTAGGTGGAGACACCCAAGAACCTTAATCTCTTGTGACTTCATCATCTCTTGTATTTTTGTCTTATCAAAAATTTAATTGACCTTGACCTCAACGTCAAAGTCTGTAAATAATCTACCATGTACCACTTCAAATTCAGGATGGGAAATTACGTCCAACTGGAGATTAGCACTAATCTTACAG